ATAAATTTGGATTTTTTTCTATGCTTTCACTTCTCCATATACAAATAAGATAATTACTGACTTGCTAATAATTCAAGGTTGTTTAGGTAACATGGATTAAATGCTTTTTAAAAAGTGCTGTACACTTATTGGGTAGTTTTATGAAGATAATCTTTACATTTCAATAGGATCACAGATCAGCTCTGGGGGAAAAGAGTATCAGAAACACAAGGTTTTATATTTCAGTTCCTTTCCATCTTGAAAAAATGACCCAAATATTGACAAATGATGTTTTCAGCCCAAGTTGTAGGTCATCTTTTAACATTCTTTGAAATCTTCCAATTGAAATAAAAAAGATCTTTTAAGATTTTACTTCTCCTATGACATTCTTTGGAGAATGTGCAGATCTTTTTTAACCTCTTTAGGAAGCAGCAGCAGCAGTAGCCATATTTCCTTTGCAGCGATATTAGTGACACTGTTTACATAAATATTCTTTTCAAGAACACCTTTCTTTTGCATACATAATAGAGAAACCATTATTAAATAGGGCAGAAGTATCAGTTGTAGATTCACAGGAACTTAAAGCTGGAAGAAATCTTTTGTTTACCCAAAAGGAACTTTACTTCAGCTTAATGCATAGCTGCTGGTCACATTTTGGCTGTGGCCACGGATCCATAATGAAGTGTGAACCACATGAGGACTGAATGCCTCAGTTTGCCTTTCACACAAGTGTGCTGCAAACACAGGGCTGAACGCTTAGTAAGCGCTGATCATGACACTGATTTAATTTTTAAATAGCATGCACTTGATCAAAATGCAACATGTTCACGTACCAATACTCCATGATGAACACATTCATTATGTATCACAAACATATATCAATTAAAACATTTTTAAAAAGAAATACTTTTGCAAGTAAGAAAAATTGGGATTATCATTACTGGCCACCAATAATCAGTAGCCACACTCTGAGATTATGTACTTTCATTCTGGTACTTAAAACCATTAAAAATATACATCTGTGCTTGACTTAAGGACCTCAAATATCCTAAAACATTATCTTTCTAGGTGTAGTGAGAAAGTTTTCTACATATATTGAAATTCCATGTAAGCAAAGTAATTTGAATACTCAAGAGAAAGAATAAATAAAGTCCATGGGATATCTGGGATCAGGTTTTCTTCCTGATGAAATGCAGAGACATTTTTAATTAGGATATAAGCTGTTTCTTCAATCTCTGCTATGTAAAAAAGCTTCACATTATTACACAAGTGTTGTCATTAAACTAGAGTATAATCTGGGAGAATTCATGGCTTTTATGGCAACCCACAGCAAGGGACACTGTCTTGACAAAATATAAAATTGCCTCTAACACTGAGTTGAAACTATAGGAGTGCAGCACACAAGCCCTGTAGTATTGTTTTAGATGAAGCACAGTGAGAGCCCTGTGCTTCCTTCAAGCCTCCTCTTCCTTACTGAATGAACTCCAGGGAATGGCATCATGTCAGGCTTTCCAGATGGATTATGTGAAGCCATAGCTCAATGTCATTTTCAATAGGAAGCCTCATAATTAAAGGTCAAATAGTCACTTCATCTGCAATCAATCAATAGAAAAAGTACTAATACGAAGAACTAATCAATCAATGGCAAATGCTCTAATAAAAGCAATGAATCAAATTCAGCATGTGTGTAGATGCAAGTTCTTGGAAGGGACTGAGACAGAGCAAAAGCAAAAACAGTAAAATAAACCAAAGGTATATATCGAGAGAATTTGCAGGAAGCTTCGTAAGCAAGAGTTTTCATCTTTGCTTCATTAGTTATATGGATAACACTTGGCCTACAGGGATTTATTCTTAAATACAAATACGAGGTATAATAATAAATAGCAATTTATAAGTTTTGCTTAATGTATTCTACTTGATATATGTGCATGCCTCTTTGTGTGCATGTATGGGTAAAATCACTAGAAGAAATATTAAGGCAGTGATTGCAAAAGAGAAAGATATTTTTAAAGTGGCAAACAGGTATATTATAATTTGTTGTATTTCATTTTTGTGTGAAATGTGAAAGAAAATATACTGAGTGATATTTCCTCTTTCTTTTTGGAATACGAATTTTTCATACTCAACATGATGTTCTTCCACCTCTATGCAGATAAGGACTTCCCCTAGGGTAGTGCTTAGCCTGTAGCTCAGGCCACTACCGAGGCAGGTCCTCTGTACCAGTGTCATTAGGTCACCAGTGGAGGAAAATATGCATTGGATCTTGGGAAAATGGATACAGTAAGTTTATAAAGCTCAACAAGCCTATTCTCGCAATCACATCCAAATGCCCCTTGGGGCATGTGGAAGTAAAGGTGATCTCTCTCATTCAAGGAAGCACCAAAGAGGCCATTTGCAAAAATGCTAACACGAGGGAAGATAGATATGACCAAGAAATGGCAGGAGATTAAGGTTGAAAATAAAATTCCCTAACCTTACAGATAAAGAAACAGGCCAAATCAAGTATTTAGATCTTAAAGTTCCAAGAGAACTTAAGTCTGCCATGTTACGAACAGCTAAGTATTTATACTAAGTGGTTACCAGATACCACACTACTATTGTACTGGGAAATCATATTAGTGGATCTAAGTATCTATTTGATGGGTGGACACTACAAAAGCAAACAAAAATCCAACCCTTTTGCAGCAAAACAACTATCTCTGTGTTTAGAGCACTGATCTGCTTGTTTGAAAATTAGCTTTCAGAAAGCTTAAAGGAAAAAGGAGTATGACTCTGAGATCAAGAAAAATGAAATGCAAAAAAGAGAAAAGGATTGAATACAGAGGTATTTTACTTATGTAAAAAAAGAATACTGATCATACTACAGTGTGCATCTTGGGTATGCTTCTTGCACTCGGTTCAGCACAGCCACCTGCAGCACATGGAACATCTTGGAGAAACAAAAACGTCCACTTTGGTTTTCTTGTCAAAAGCAAGTTCCTCAGAGCGGTTCAGGCTGAACAGCTCTTGTAGAAATGTGGAAATGCATTTGGGCAGCCATGGATCAGTGTGCTTCAAGGACCTCAGCTCTGCACTCTGTACATCTAGCCCTAGACTCCCTTCCTTCCTATTACCTCCATAGTTTTTAGGAGACCTGGAACACCACACATGGCATCCACAACAACACATGGGGAAGAAGTACCGAGATGAGTTTTTTGAGGTCAACAACTAAATCACACTTGTTAGATGAAAATCTATAAGACAGGAGTCAGGGAACTGGAACCCTAGAAGTGGTAACACGATTATGTTATAACTAACCTAGTTAATAATAATGAATAACCAAAAAAAAAAAATGAATACTAGCTACTGCTTATTGAGGCCCACTGTAGGCCAGGAAGCACAGCAAGCCCTTTAAGGAGGCATCTCACTTAGTTCACAGCAATCTATGTGCAGCATAATTACCACACACATTTTGTCATGAATCGCCTACCTATTAATCGCCAGGGTCTCTGCTAGGTGCTTAACACATTGTATTTTTAATTTTAATGATACTTATAGAGTAATTTTACAGATAAAAAAGCTAAGGTTCAGGAAGTTAACTGAAAATCAGGATTGGACTATGGCTTTCAAAGCTCTTTCAACTTCAACTTAATAATGATGATGAAGAAAAACCAAACAAACACCCTGTTAATTTATTTAAGTAATCTGAGGCCCTAGATAGCAAACAGGAACTGCTCTTTAATGAGCTTGTCCAATTCCCAAATCATTTTGCAAACTTGCTAAGACTGACAAAGACTCTACCAGAGAAATACGTTTAGAACTAGTAAAAAAATTGTGAATTTTTTTCTTTTTATAATAGATAATGTGAAATAGGAAGAAAAGGTACAAAGGGGGAGGGGAAGGGGAAGGGGAAGTGGAAGTGGGAGAGATAGGGGAAAGGAAAGAAGGGAAAGAAATAAATATGAGAAAAGAGAAAAATAGGGGAGCCGGGGATTTAGCTGGGTGGTGCCACCTGCCTCGAAAGAACAAGGTCGGGAGTTCGATCCCTGGTACCAAAAAAAAAATAAGGGAAACAAAGTCTTTGCAAACAGGGAAGGTTGAAGGGAGGGCAGGGGAGTGGGGAAAATAATAAGAACCAAGATGCATCATGTAAAGGTACAAGATCCCAATGATGAACGTCATCATACTGTATACCTAAAATGGTACCAATAAACTTAATGAATTAAAAAAATTTATAGGTGGAATTTAATCTGAGCAAGCTAAGAAAAATGTCATGATTCTTCATTCTTTTAAGTGAGTGCCACATGCAGAGGAGCTGTTAACAGGAGTTTTTGCCACAATCTGCCTACTACCCTGAGGAGTTTGTGAATGATGTACGTTTCCATAAAGTTTCTGATTATTTAATGACTTTTAATGAACAAAAACATAGATTCTGGATGTCTAAGAGGTTATTAGGATAACGGCACTAAATTAGATAAAGCAAAGTAGAAAACAGCACTTTTGTTCTTAACCTATTTTTGTCCATTAAATACTTATTTCACTTAGTGCTAATCCAATTGAGCTAAAGCTAATTATACTGCGTCTACTAGAACACATACCATTTGAAAGTGAATTTCAAAGTAACATCAATATCCAGTTAAGGTAACAGTATGTTCACCTTGCTTTGAGCTCCCAGAAAAGAAGTGGGACTCTCCAGAGTCAACTCCAGAGATTCCCAAGCAGTGTTCAGTAGTACTCCTCCCACGGACAGCCTCACCCCACACTGGCTCTAACGCTAGCGATTCTGCGTTCTTGTTTTTCATGAGAACTGGAAATATGATTATAAATCAAACTAAATCCCACACTGTGAAATGCAGCCCCTCAGAAATGGGTTTGATCAGATCACTATTTTAAAGCAGTGACCCGTCCTCACTTTGCTGCCATTCTTTACCTGACGGAAGGGACAATACCCACTGCATGTAATATGGAGTTCTATGCATTTCAAAATCTTAAAATGTAATTCTCTGTGGGTAATATATAGTCTTTAACTCTGGATCACTTACCCAATGTGAGGGATTTGTGTGTAGAGCAGAAAATGATAGCCACTGTGTCTGCTGGTGTAAACCCCGAGTTATCCCTAGGGACCAAAAAGAATAAAACATTTTTTAAAAACAGTACTTGTATAAAAAGTCTATTCAGCACATGCTAAATTATTTTTTTATTGCATACTATTTTTGGTTACTATTATTTCATAGTAATTTTTTAAATTTTGGTACCGGGGATAGAACTTGGGACCTTGCGCTTGCGCAGCAGGCGCCGGAACCACTGAGCTAAATCCCTGGCAAATTATTTTTATTTTTATTTTTTTGGACCAGGGATCGAACTCGGGACCTTGGGCTTGTGAAGCAGGCGGCGGAATCACTGGGATAAATCCCCAGCCCAACAAATGCTGAATTAAAACGTGGTACCTAACCTTCACATTAACATCCCTTGATCAATCCTGGTGACAGAAGTAATTCTGGGCCCAAATGTACAGAAATGTCTGAATTTCTTTTTAGAGAACATTTCTGATACATTCATCCATGGAAAGGAGAATAGTTACTGTGTGGTGGGGGGCTTCTAAGATCACACGTATAACCAGTCCATGGTGGTATAGGACTTTGAGAAAATAATCCAGCAAGGCGCTTTCTCAGCTGTCTTTAGATTATCACCTGACATTACCCATCACATTGAAAGGATTTATTTGTCTCCAAAAATGCTTCTCTCCAGGAACAACACATCCTCGTGGAACCAATCACACTCTTATCTTAACAGGATGTTGGAGCAAAAAACCCCAATTGTCATTTTTTGAGCAGTTACTGGGGGTAACAGGCACTTCTCAAAGGTCTTTACCTGAGTGTAGACAGTAACCACCCAAAGTAGAGGAAACATCACTTAATTTACAGATGAGGAAACCGAGGCACACAGAAATCACTTGCCTTATTCTGGGCCCATCACTGGTAAGTGCCAAAGCTAGGATCCAAGCCAGGGCTGGTTCCCTTGCTTGTGCTCTTAACTTCGAAGTCCTACTATTATAATAAGTTTAAACAGGACAGAACATCTCATCTCATCAAAACTGATTAAATGTTATGGGGGCTCAGCAGAGTCAGCTGGATATCATAATCTCATTTCCTACACTAGATCTTAAAGGCATAGAGAATCATGACCACATTATTATTATTATTGTGCCCTTATATGTCAGAAACGATTCCTTTCTGTAGGACCAGGGTTTGATGGTATAGTGAGTGTATTCATTCCCTGCCCTAAGCTCTGACAGAACAGCTCAGAGAAACACGATGCGCTGGAAACCGACTGCATGCAGCTGCAGCTACAACAATCTCCCCAATTTTAAGGATCTCTAATGAAAGAGAGCCCACATTTCCCTTAGAAATCTCATCACCATGTATGACTTTTGCTGCAAGAAGTCTTAACCCTTATTTAGAAAAACCCCTAAAAAGATTCCACACCATTTTCTCTGTTGGTTTCTCACCGGAGGGAAGAAGAACCCTTTCTTCCCCCTCATCCCATGTGGAGGTGTCAGGAGGATATTTAAATGGCCCTTGCTCTCCTCACTCTGAAAAAGCATGTTTCTGCTTCCAGACCACCTTCCTCCCAGCCCTTTCTTCGTATCAACTGGATCTCTGCTTTCTCACCTCAGGTGAGGATTCTCCACAGATGTGTGCCACCTGAGTGTAATGAGACTGCTTGACTGTCCCTACATCTGATCCTGATGTACACTGTGATGTTACTCTTGGTTTTTAAACACTGCACTACATTTCTGACATATTTATCTCTTTATTCTTCATGGTAGACCTGATGGGGAGGGAACTCTATAATTCTGTAAATATATGGGCTGAGAGAAGAAAACACGAAGACGGCAATGGAGAGGGATGGGAGAGAGGGGAGAGGAGAGGAATGGGGGAGAGCAGGAGAGAAAGGGAAGGAGGGAGGGAGAGAGGGAGGGAGGGGGGGAGAGAGATTCGCCATTAGAGGAGGATCATCACCTCTAATGTGGCAGGGACTGAGGTGATGACAAGCACACAGCCTTCCAGGAGGTAAGGGAAGGTGGAACTGCAATATGGGGGTGCAGGGGAAATCTAGCAAAGGGAAGATTTTTCAGGCTGGTTTGTGTACAGGGACTCTTGCTTATGACCAGGAGTGTGGGCTTGGTAAACTGGAACAAGGGGAACTGTGGAAGAACTTGGGACGGTAGAGTGACACGATCAGACTTGCTCTTCAGAAGTAATCATACAGCATGGTATAAAACTAAAGAAAGGCCATTCAGGAAGTAGGGAGCTAGAAGGGCTTGAAGAAGGGCAGGAGATGGGGATAAGAGACATGGAGTTAGAATAAAACAGAACTTGTCAATTGTTAATTTTTATGCAACATTCCCTCAACAGTAGAGGCTTTGGGGGCAAGCACACTTGATTTTAGATCCAGACCTTCCTTTTGCTTCTATATAAAAGGGGAGAATACTACCTGCCTCTTAGGCATTGTAAAGATAAATGCTGATATTCGTTAAGAATTTGGCACATTATAAATGTTTAATGCATGCTGGTTGACATTTTATTTTTTTATTTTTTTGTACCGGGGATCGAACTTGGGACCTTGTGTTTGCAAAGCAGGCGGCAGAACCAACTGAGCTAAATCCCCGGCCCCTGGTTGATATTTTAATTCTTGTTATTGTTTGGAAAGAGGAGGAATTAATGAGACATTGGAAACTCTGAGCGCACAGGACTGAGAGGAACACGAAAGCTTTAATGGAAACAGAGAATGGAAGAGGGAGCCCAGTGGGGCTTGAGAGGAGGCCAAGGAGAGAATGTTGGATTTGTAGCAGTGAAAAGGGACCAAGTTTTCAATCAACCTGGTGGAGAGAAGAGAAGGGTCGTGGGAGATCTGAACATGATTACAAAGAGAGTGAAGACACAGCAGAAAGAATTAACCAATGAACCAGGTGCCCAGAGAGGCCCAAGAGGATGTGACTAAAGGCTGAACTGCACAGAGAAGTTTCCCACAGTCTGAACTAGAAGCAAAAGCAGGTAAGATAGGTCAAAACTATGGACATTTCCTAGGCAGAGAATGGCAAAGCAGAGGTAACTTCAGTCAGTTTTTACTCTTGTAAAGTGTGAGGCATTTTACTTATCCATGGACTTTGAGGTGATACTGAGGCATGGGACCTAAAGAAATTAGAGAAGTGTGAAACAGGCCACCTGGGGAATGTGACAGCGTCAAGTCACAGTGAATTCTGCAGCGGGGAGGCTCAGCTGTGACTGCAGGACATGGAGCAAGTGAGTTTGGGATGATCCCCAGAAAGGCTTGTGGCCTCTGCAGTCTTTTGCTACCTTTGGTTATGACCAGTCATGACCACATCTGGATTTATGCAGTTCGGCTTTCTTCCTGGAGAGGCTGGCAGTGTACTTCACCTCGAGTGAACTTGGTTCCACTTGAACTTGCTCATGTCCAGTTTTGCACATTTCCAGGGTGTCAAAGTCTCTGGTCATTGGGGCTCTGATTCGATAGGTCTGGTGCTGTCACCAATTAGAGCATCACTTAGAGCGTGGCTAAAGAGGCTACTTACAGGGTTAGCCTGCTTGTCCCATTCCAGGTAAGGGGACCAAAGCTAGGCCCGCACAGGGACACCTCTGACTTGGGTAAAGAGTAACATTTTTCTACGGTTCTGCTGATACAAATTCCATCAGTGTAGAAGGGAGGATCACAAGATTAGGGATGTTTATTTACAGTTAAAGCCATGTCCCTCTTCAGAGGGCTAACTCGAACCCTAACCACACAAGAACAGTCTACACCACATCCTCACAGTCTATCTCAACAGGGGGAGTTCGGGGAGCAGATGCCCATGTAGCCCTCCACTCCTGATGATGGAGAGAGGCCACAGCAGTGAACATGACCAAGCACTTTCCTAAATGCTTTGCAGCCTGCATTTCCTCCTTTGCAGCACAGCCTTAGAAGGCGTTTGCCTTGCTTTTTCCACAGGGGAAATGTGAAGCACAGAGAGGGTAAGTGGCTTCCCTAATGTCACATAACAAGCAAGTAGGCTGCCCCAAACTTTGGAGGCCAATTTGCCTTCTCAAAAAGACAATATAAAAACCAAGGAAAGGGGCCGGGGATTTAGCTCAGTGGTTTTGCTGCCTGCTGCGCAAGTGCAAGGACCCGTGGTCGATCCCCAGTACCAAAAAAAAAAAAAAAAAAAACAAAGGAAAAAAACCCCAAACAAACCACTACAAAATAATTTAATGGGTGAGAGCGGCCATCTCGGTCAGTAACCTGCTCTCCGCCATCATCTGTCAAGGGTGGCTTCACGGGACAAGGTCAGCACAATGCACAGAAAGACAGAAAGACAGAGTCCTGAACATTATATTTAAATAGTAATGACTACAATTATTTTTAGTGAGGAACATCTCTATTGGGTCTGCTCATGTTCTTGAAAGGAATCACATTATTATTTATTTTCTAACTCTACCTTATCTCTTTTTAATACTGATTTTCTTTTTATCCTGTTTTTATAATTCTTTTGATCACTTTGGCTTCCTTGGAGATGTTTATTTCCTTTTCTTCCCAAGTGGTCTTTTTATTCTCTCTGAAAAAGCTTTCAATCAGGGTTCTCCACATTATATTTATTTTGCCTTCCTCTGTGGTACTCACAGGGGAAAACATGTCAGGTTTTACTAGGAGAATCACAGAATGTGGAGCAGAAAAGGTCCTCGGAGGGACCTTTTTTAGAGGAGGAAACTTACATGTGAGATACTTTTGTGCTGTTGTTTTGTCTTTGCTCATTTTGGGGGGAAACCTCATCTGTCTGACCGTAAGCAGGCAACCAAGAGCTCCCAGGCTCAGCTGCCTAATCGGGATGGTACAGACTTGCCACTGAGATTGCCTGTCTGGTATGCTTTGCCTCTCTCCTCCATCTCTTCCTCCCTCCTTCCCCACCATCCTTCTCCCAGGGCTGTGGTGAGAGGCCCACTGAGTCACTACCTTACAGGATTAACAGCTCTATGTAACTATTTGAATATTTGTTTTTCTCCTCATCTTTTCTAAAAGAGTTCTTTTGTCACTCTAGTGAGTCTAGGTGTCTGTTACTCCAGTTATCAGCCTGCCAAACTGTTTTTTACATAGTTTTTAAAGATTCTCAACTTGTGCTTTTTCTAAATTTTTCAACATTTTCTTTATCTTTGACCATTTCCCAATATTGGCTAAAACTTAGGTCACTATGGATAGTTGACTTGGTTTGATGAGTAACTCACATTTTCTAGCAACTGTTGACATAGACTGTATTACAAAGTTAGAACAGCTAACTCCTTTTTCTTGTTAGTTTTTGATATAAACTATTTTGATGTAATAATAAGCATCCTATAGTAGCTAACATTTATTCAGCACATACTATATATACATAGGCATAATGCTGAGGGGTTTATGTGCATATTATTTAATTCTCCAATGTTCCTATAATACAGGTGCTATTACTGTTTCAATTTTACATATAAGGAGGCTGACAAAAGTCACAAAGTTAGTAAAAGAGCTGAAACCCACGTCTGTCTGGCTCTAGCTTTGGAATTTTGAATCCTGATACTATTTTGTAGACAGATATATGACTGTTAAATCTACTTTAAATGCTCACTGATATGGTAACACACCGAGACAGTAAATCTAAGAAATGCGAAGAGAAGCAGAATGTGGCAAGAAAGTTGAACTTTCCATTATTGCGATGCTGAAGCATGCTGCATAACAAACAGGCTGCTTTCTATGCTGAGATTTATTTTTTGCCAAGTAAATAAATACATCTGGATTTATTAGATTTATTGGATTGATTAGTTTTGTTTTTTTTTTTTTTGCAGTACTGGGGATCAAACTCAGGACCTTGCGCTTGCCAAGCAGGTGTAGAAACACTGAGCTACATCCTGGCCCTATTGGATTGCTTAGGAAAAAAAAAGTGAAAACATACAACAGATATCAATTTCACCAATGTCAGGTAGGAAAGAACCAAAACTAGGAAAAGGAAATGGAATTCAGGAGGGCACAAATCAATGGGTTCTAATTCAAATTCTTAGTATCTTCAATGAAATGGTTCAGAGTTCAGTTAAACACTCTTTTAGTTAAATTCTCTAACTAAAACAAGTCATGAATTTTAAAAGTAATTAAAATAACAGAGCAATGAGCAAAGCACGAACAAATACTTTTGGAAACGTCAAACGGAAATGGATTTCAATTCTAGGTATACTATCTGATTTTAGCTAAGTTATTAAACTACTACAATCTGATTTTAGCCAAGTACTAAAGCAAACTACCATAAGTCTGGGTCCTCATCAGTAAAACAGTAGCAAAGAGGCCAGATATCATAGTCTTGCCACCACACCAGAAATACTGTATGGACCATCCTCAGGCATCTTTCATTCTTCCAATAAAAGCTTTAGCAGCTATGGGGGCTTTCAGCAACAACACAGATGAAAGTCATCTTCAAAATCTTGTCCCTTTGAAAATTTTCCAAAATTTTTTTTTTCGGTACCGGAGATCAAACTCAGGTCCTTGCTCTTGTGCAGTAGGCAGCAAAACCAGAGCTAAATCCCCAGCCCTAAATTTTCCAATTTTTAGTGGCTTGTTTTGGGGCTATGCACCCATTACCTTGGAATCTGATAATCACTTTTTCATAGTTTATGGTTTAATAAAGAATGTGTTGACTGACAGTGGGTCAAATAAGTTCAAAGTATGACAGAATTTCAGGAAAGGCAAAATCAGGTGGCAAAGAAGGATTTTAAACCCAGGTCACTAGGAAAGACTAGTTTACTGCATGCTGAAAATTGTTAATTTTAATTCAACTAGTTGTGATGTCCCTCTCCCGCTGTCCCCCTTCAGTAAGGAATCCCAGCAGTTTCTGATCAGTATTGCATCTTTTCAAGGAGTTTTTCAGTTATTAACAGGCTCTCTGCATCCTGCTTATCTGATAGGATGAACAGGCCTGACTATTACTTCCTCCACAAGGGCCAGCGAACAAACAGCCACTGAAAGGTGACACAACAAGCCATTCACAAAAAGAACTTTAAAACAGCTCTTTCTCTCTGACTTACTCAACTAAGGCACATTGTCTCTGTGACTCAAGGGCTCCAGGCTTTATTTTTACTTCATAAATCAGAACCCCAAGCTTGGGGAAATGCTTCAAATTACATCAATCAGTACATTCTTATTGACTGTTTACATCAGCCTAGTGCTATACTAAGTGCTATATAGGCCAAGTGCTAACATGAGGCCTGTGCCCATCCTCCCAGGCCCTGACATGATTTCAAAAAGCCTCCTCAATACCCTAAGCCCTCACCTTGTGGTAACTCACTGGTCTTTCAGTCAACCTGACTCAAGCCCACCTGGCCAGTGACTAGTGTTACTTTTAATCCTCCTTTACTACTGTGCTGTTCTGTACATGTCCACATAGACACTGTGGCTTCTTCTGTAAGAACACTTTCTCTGCCTCTCTGTCTGCTGGACAAGTGGCCATTCTTCACAGCTCAGGCCAACTGCATCACTCCCATGAAGCTGGGCTCCACCACTCTTTGGAACTGCTTTCTTCTTCTGTGAATGGAGCACAGGTTGGCTTACTATACTACTCAGAGTGCACTTAGTTATTATCACTGCACATGTTTAGTCTATAAATTCATGCAGGATTTGGAATCAGCTCTTATTTGTGGCATCCACTATGGTAACTTTCTCATACCAAAGGCTTAAGTATCTGTTGAGGTCAGGCATGGTGGTGCACGCCTGTGATCCCAGCACTTGGGAGGCAGAGAGGCAGGAGGACTGCAGTGAGTTGGCGGCCGGCACGGGCTACATAATGAGTTCAAGGCTAGCCTAAGCTACATAGTGAGACCCTGTCTCAAAAAAAAAAGAAAAATTGTTAAATAAATAATCCCAGCAGAAGAAGTTGCATTTAAGGTGATCCTTTAAGAACAGGAAAGAGAAACTAAGACATGAAGAACAATTTGGTCATGAGGACAGCCTAAGCAAGGGAAGGAAAAGTGTTCTAGGGAATAGCAATGATTTTACCTCAACCTAATGCTTAGGCAGCATAAATACCAGTGGTGATTTCCAGAGACTGTATTTAGACTGGATGGCCTTGGACTTAAGAAATTAACTTCATTGCAGGCACTGGCCAAACAGTGAGGATATCTGAACAAGAGAATGATCATCAGAACTTGGAGTCACTGGAAGCAGTATGAAATGGATAGGAACGGTTGGGCCTAGAAGTAGACTTACCAGTAAGATACACACTGCAATAGACTGGACAGAAGAGGTACCAAGAACCTGAATTAGGGAAATGGCTATGAAGCAGAATAAATATTACAAAATTAGGGTCAAGACATTTAAAAAATGGTGGGAAGGATTCCAGTCTGAGTAACTCTGAGGATGGTAGTTCCATTAAAAATAAGTAAAGAGGGGCTGGGGATGTAGCTCAGTGGTTCTGCCACCTGCATCGCAAGCACAAGGACTTGAGTTCGAGCCCCGGTACCAAAAAAGAAACAAAAGAGGAAGAGGAAGTTTCGGGGGGAAAAAGATTAATTTTCTATTTTGAGTATCTTGAGCTAATATCTTTTTTTTTTTTTTTGGTACCAGAGATCGAACTCGGGACTTTGCACTTGTGAGGCAGGCGCCAGAACCACTGAGCTAAATCCCTGGCCCTTGAGCTAAGATCTTAAGACAGTCAGGGGAAGATAACTACTGGTAAGGAAAACATAGTCCTGAATCTCAACAGTATGAAGAGGAAAGCTCCAGCCAGGAGAATGGAGGAGGCTGTCTAAGCACATGACATGGACAGATGAGACAAGGACCAAGGACACATCTTCTGGTGATGACTACAGCTTTGGGGTCGCAGAGAGTGAAAAAGAATAGTCGAAGACAAGAGGGAAAAAAAACGGGACAGTATAGCGGCACAGTAGCCAAATAAGGAGTATAATTCCTCACTTAGGAAATCAACAAAAGATACCAAATCACTTACCTTGTTGAGAAGATGAAGGTTAAGAGCATAAAACTCAGTTGAATAGATACTACTGAAGAGAGAAAAAAAAGATTGAACCTAAGTTAGCATTATAAAAGCAATGTATCTGGAGTATATTTACTGATGTGCTTAGTTTTATCTGAAATCTAAAAAAACAAATGAATAAACTGAACAAATGTACACTGCTAAATTGATAGATTCATTTAAATCAGTAGAATTAAGCCTATTCTTAATGGCAACATCGCCAGACACAATCTACGATTACTACTGAGGGAGAATCTAAAAACCCTTTTTCATTTAAGATTTAGTTAATTTTTTAATTTAGAAAGACCTGGTTTATACTATGAGTATATATAGTATATATGGCACAAATGTGGTATTATATAATACTTCGGAATAACTCATCTTCATTCTTAATAACAAAAGCTGTCTTTTGTTACAATATTAATAAAAACTGTCTTTGGTTTTTTGGGGTTTTGAGCTTTAGCAGTTACTGGCATTTTATAGCCTACTGTTCCTTAAAATGAAATGCTATTACTTTAGATATATTTTATTAGAAAATATGTAAATGTTCACATTTTAACCAATGTATTCAAATTATTATCCATATAAAATAATGGTATCACACATTATCAATCCTGCTTTTAAATCAAAATAGGGATTAAGATCAGTTTAAACTTAAACTAAATTGGTGGCAGAGTGCTCAATCAGATTTTTGCATTTGATAGATACTAAGGCTTCTTTCATCTGACATCAACTATTGAGAATCAGAAAACAGTGTAATGGACATAAAAAAAAAACCCAAAGGAGATTAAGATCCTAAGTGCATAAGTGATGTCTTTCTAAAGAACAAATACACAAGACAGTCACTGAGTAAATATGTATTAATATAAACGAAGTATGGGTTTCTAATGAGATTAACATTGGAAATGTGTTTGAGGCACACGGATTACTTCACACTGCTCCTGAGAAGACTGAGGGATATCAGGGCCCCATCTTCCAACTTACTTATGAATAGGATGAGAAGGAGGCTGAGCTTATCCAGGTCAAAGTGTGGGTTGGAGAACGTGTCACAGAATGTGGTGTAGATGATCATGAGGAGCACACTGCTGCTGACAGCACCAAAAGGGGGTTTCTTTCTTTCAAGCCAATCCTTGATGTATCTTCGGACAATCTGCAACACAGAGAGCAACAGGTTGCCTCTTTTCAGAGATGAAGGGAGTTGAACTGGGCATCACAAAGGGATTCTGACAGCAGAAAGACATAAAGAGAAGAGAATAATTTGGATGATGGCCACAGTGGATTTCAAAGCTTCCCTGCCATGCCACTCTTCTCCTGGGGAATGTAACATTTGTAGTGCAACTTCCACTGGGTGTCCATAATGAGAGTGTATTTTCAACCACATTCAAATCCATCCTTAATCATGCCAAATGCTCTTTGCTAGCTGTCACCGAGACATGCCCATTAAGCCTCCCCAAAGTTTATCTCCTCTGCTGATCCTAATGGATGTGTGTAATTATCACAGTCCCCTTTGCCTCGACAGACAATTCCAAGTATAACTTTGGGAATCTTAAAAATCTGACATCTTCAAGAATTTCAAGATGGTAGATAATCAAAAGTGATCCATGGAACATATTAATATTTAAAATGCTAGCAAAGCAGCAGAAGTTTTTAATTAAATTATAACTCATGCTTGAAAAGTAAAAGTGCATGTGTTGTGGGAGTTTAAATAATTTAAACTCTGACTATCTAGAGTTTTTGTGAATCCAAAGACAAATGCCATTTGCATGCTTTTAGAATTCCAAAATTAACACTTAAAAATGAATAAACCTGTCCTAACTTTCCTATAAAATGATCAGTGAAATATAAAAAAGCTACAGAGCAATCTTCTCTTATTTCAAAATCAAATCAGATATTTAAAAATCAGGACAGTCTGAATATTGATGATAACTTGTGTTTGGACATAAGAGTGAACCATTCTACTTCAAATCTTATTTTACTCTTGAAAGAAGCTGTGTAAGCGCTATCATAAGGATGACAGTTGAGACATATTATGTTTTGAGTCACTCATTATTCTGCATAATTGAACATGAGATTTCACAACAGGTTTAGTTAGCATGGATCCATTAGCAATAATGAGGTCAGGGAATTTCTCCTGATAGGGCTGATGGGGTTCTGCCGTCATCAACTCTGTCACCAAAAAGGCTTAATTCACAATGGAGCACATCTTTTCTCTGTCCCAGGTGCGCATTGAGAAGCGCCGTGGCGATACTTCAAAACAAAATAAACTCCATTTATTTCCCCAAATCCATGGGTTCATTTTCTGCACTTTTAGGTACTCCAGGTCAACTCGGGTCTGAAAACATTACATGGAAAATTCCAGAAATAAACAATTTATAAATTTAAAATATGTTCTGTTACAGTACATTACTATAATTATTTTTTTATCATTGTTGTTAATCTCTTATTGTGCCTAATCTATAAATTAAACTTTATTATAGGTACATTTGTATAGGAAAGAGTATATATAGGTTTTGGTGCTATCCATATTTTTGGGCATCCACAGGGGTCTTAGAATGTATCTCCCAAAGATAAGAGGTGACATCGTACTTTCAACAGAACCTTTGAAAAAATGGCTGTTGGATCTACTTCAGCTGTTCTCAAGGACTCACTAAGAGAAATAATAGCATAAATAAAGGAGGTCTTGGCAGAAAGGCTATCAGTTGGTACAAGGCACAGGAATAAAACATTCAAGGTTGGGTGGGGTGAGGATAAAGGAGTGTTATATATAGACAAATAGTTAATTTTTTTAAAAAATGTGTATTATCCAATTAAAATGATAGCTAGATTAATAAAATATTATGATGGGGGAAGTGATCCAACATCATAGTAATTTATTTAGTGTTCATTTCTTTAAGGTTAAAAATGCAGTAAAATATAGAGACGTAAGATCAGTTCTGCTACACAGTATTATGGACTGATGTGTTAGGACATAAATTTTGGATGCAGTGTTTGAAGTATCATAGGTCACCCAGATGGCCTCATGTTCAAATAAGTCGCCATGAGTGGTGACAAAAGGGGATGGAGGGACTTCATTTATAGGGTCATTTCATAGTCTACTGTGTTTGGCAACAGAAAGCCAAAAGTGTCCTAAATTTAATACAGCTCAACTCCTTTAGGAAATAAAACAAATGGAAAATATATAGAATTAGTGAAGTCCATGATGTCTTTCAATCTCATTTATATACCATGGTTAAAACACATAAGATTCCTCTCAGCCACAGGCTACATAATGTATGATCTCAATTCTCAATGAAAAAGTGTCTTCCTCTTCCACCACCATGGCCCCCTTCTGACAAAATAAACAAATAAATATGAGTGAGGTGTATCTTGAAAGCCAAAGTCACTTTAAAACCAAGACAAATAGCCAATCATTAGTGAACATGTGCATTAACTTGATATTAACTTGATTTGCCTAACCCAATAACCTCTTTCTCCATTATACAGTGCTCAGAGTCTCACAGTACAGTGGGACTCTTGTAATAAGCAAGAAACAAGGGCTCCCGAGTCCAGGATCTTCCTAGCCAAAATGCCTTTCTTGTAAACATATCCATAGGTTAACGCTGGGTACTTAATCTTGAAAACAAAAACCAAAAACCAAAAAACAAAAACAACTGAAGAGTTGGGAACTAGGTGGACCTACAAGAGAAACAATAACCTTAGAAGAAAAACCTGTCTTTCATCACTTTTAGTCTTATGGTGGCATTTGTCTGTTTCCTAAGCAAACCATTTCCTATCTTGCCAGGCTCCATAGAGTTTTTCTATCTTTCTCTAAAATTAAATTCACAAAGCAGATGCTTTTGCACTGCGTAGCTAGAAAAGTGTGAAAATGTTGCATAAACAAAACTGGGTGCGGCAGTGTTGACATGCTTCAAAGATGTGCTTTGTCTATAAACTCCAGGAATGTCATCTTTTTTCAGTTCAGCAACTTAACTTTCTTTTTTTTTTTGGTACCGGGGATTGAACTCGGGTCCTTGTGCTTGTGCAGCAGGTGGCAAAACCACTGAGCTAAATCCCTGGCCCTAACTTAACTTTCAACCTGATGATTCTCCATGTGTTAAGAATTCATGTCCTTTTCAAATTCTCCAAACTTCTTTTTGCCTTATAGAAAATTTTAATAGCCTTACAGGAAACAAGGCTCTATTAAGAGATAAATACAACTTCTCTCTTGGGAAAAAAGACAATCCAGATTAGAAAGAAAAGAAACTCTGACGAGGTAGCCAGTGGTGTCTTCAGAATCTATACTAATTCTGAAATTTAGGCATTAAAATGAAATGAAATTTAGGCATTAAAAATTAAATGACAAATCCTCAATAATTTTTCTCTGTGAAGAAAAAAAAGCTTCCATAGAAAGCTTTTTATTGTCTCACCTTCAGCATTTTGATTTTCTTTATTTTAAATAAAGTAGCAGGAAAAGTTAAAAGGGAAACTTAAATTTGACTCTTTGTAACTCTAATAAGCTGAGTTATCTATCAAATACCACATAAACTCCAAGTTGAGAATCTGTAAAAATGACGTCTTACATGAGGAATGTCTATACGCCAAGGTGACTGTGAAGTAGAATATCTGTCATTTTACTTTCCTTAATTTCTTTGTCAGAGTATTTCCCTGCATTTTATTTCTACTCTATCTTTACATTTATAAATGAGTTTTTGAGTGAGGATATATGATATATAATTTTTCATGTTAAGCCTGAATTTTAAATTTATTTTTGTTCAAGGTGGCTTCAGAATCTTCCTTTAATTTTTATCTTCTATTGCACTAAACCTATATATTTTCATAAAGTATTTTGTCCTTCATTAATATCCTGTTGAGACATATGTGAAGTCAAACCAAATTTATATACTTTTCTTTTAAAATAACTTATTAAATATTTATTAAATTCAAAATAATATATTGTAAAAAGTGTAAATAATAAAAAATGGTTGGCCTGGGGATGTAGCTCAGTGGCAAGTGCAAGGCCCTGAGTTAGATCCCTGGTAACAAAAAAAAAAAATCGTTTCAACAAACATGCATTGCCTACTTTACTTTCTGAAAAAAAATTTCTATTTGATTTCACTCACATGAGAAATAATTGCAGATATTATCCTGCAAAGCTTATATTTGAAAATAGAGGCACAGAGGGTCCCCAAGCATGCATAAAATGTTAAAAAACTAGTCGGGAGGATGAGTAGAAATAAGACCTCTATTTCCAGAGAGAGTACAACATAGGGGTAAAGGCATAAACTCTGGAGCCAGGTGTGCTAGGGCCTGAGTCTTAGCTCCACTCCTTTGTAGTGTTGGGCAAATTCACTAACTTACCTTTGCCTCATCTGTAAAATGGGTATAACATAGTTACAGGAAGAATTAAGTGATTAAATAATTATGAAATGCTTTAGAAAGAGAGTTTGTACATAGTAAATGATCCCCATTCTTATATCCAAGTTCTAGTTGGGTGACGTTTCTGTTACCCAACTACATAATGTAACAGCTACTTTTCTCCCAATATAACTCATACAAAGCAGTAAAAACAGCTCGTATCAAATTTTATGAGAACAAAATTTTACTAGCATTAGTAACACTAAGTTCAGCTTTAGCTGAATCTTATTTAACATGAAAGGCCAATCTCAAGCTGTGAAACTAATCACCAATGGAAGACCCAAGAATGCATGAATGATAATGTATAAATATGCTTTTTCAATTATTCACATATAGGGGAAAAAGCAGGTTTCAGTGTACTGCTTTGAAAACTATAGCCAAAGTGGCAGAAAATAATGAAAGGCAGTAGAAATTCTATTTTATTAATGTTTATTTATAAAATGCTCGCAAATATAATGCATGAAATAAGTATTTGTTGTGAGCATTAGATGTATTGAACGGGTTTAGCTGAAGAGCATGGGAAATGCTGCCATGGCACAAAGTTTATTTCCTTCTAGAATTCAGAAGAAGCAATCTTAACCATCTTTGGAAAGACTACTCTCATCTAAGAGTCATGGCACCTTTGGGATACAGGATATGACAAGACAAGAAAGTAAAACAGGCTGTAATATGTGCACGTAACCACGCCCCAAGTTGACTGTAAACTGCATGAATTACAAATATGTACTAATAAAATAAAATAAAATAAGAGAAAGA